TAGAGCACAAGACCTGTGGAAACTGTCCCCTTCAAAAGGAACTAGAATTCTCCTTAGTTTCTTGGAGAAAAGTCCATCGAAGATGTGCACTGGGAGTGTTGGGAAAGCCAGTTTCGTGGGCACAGTCTTTCGACCCGCGGCCATGTGAGAGTGGTCTCCAGCCTGGAACCGTTCCTCACACGGAGATCAAGAGCCCTCACGTCTGAGTGGGGGATAGCTCTTTATCCAGAAATACCTCACCCTGTTCCAGGCTTCATGTGTACTTCTATGTTCTGCTTGAGCATGTGCGTCATGGGGCATCTGGAAACCCCACTGCTCTATCCGCTCCCAGTGGGAGGGGTCCGGGTTCTCGGCCTGCTGCATGAGAGGGGTGTGTGTAGACCACCTCCCTGCTTCGGCTGCGGGACCAGACGCACTGGCCGCAGGGCACGGATGCTCATTATTGAAGCTGATATCGCTCCGTCTCTTCTCCCTGGGAGTAAAGCACTGCTCCATCCAGTGTCTGTGAGTAGTGTCTTTCTTGGCGTCCCTGACACCTGCGCACCGTACAGGGAGGTGACATCCTGGGGCTGCAGCTTCTGGTGGCAGGCAGCTGGGGTCACTCGTCGAAAAGCAGACTGAGCTTTTCTTCCGCCATGCCTTTCTCTCTCCTCTCCAAACACTTCTCTACTATTTTTACATTGCGAAGATTTGTAAAAATTATATTCTATAATTAAAGCTCTGCTGTGATATCTAAAGGTTGATACAAATAATTAACAATCAAAATAACGTATCATATAAGAACCACATATGTGTTTGAACCCATAGAGAATGAAACATACACTAGGTCATTAAAATTTCGCCGCTTGGAGGATTTTCCAAGCATCAACATCCGAAGGATAATTTCTCACTTTCTCTCAAATCCCCTTTACTCTTTCTGGCTCACAGTCAGCTACCACTGTTTTTGAGGAGCCATGCCATCTCCTTTCTTAGATTCCTTTTTCGTTCTCCTTGCCTCTTCTTTAGACCAATTTAATCAGAATATATGGGAGGCGGACACTGAGTGTGATGGTTAATTTTGTGTGTCAACTTGACTAACTTATATGTCAACTAGGCCAAAGGGTGCCCAGACATCTGGTGTGGGGCCCAGGACGAGAGGAGGCTCCACGACAGAACCAGGCTGCCACGCGAGCTGCTCTGCCACCCGGGCCGCGGACCCAGCAGATCCACTGGTGCCCGAAGTGTCAGGGCAGAAAGGGACGCTGTTGGGAGGCTCTGCCAGGGCCCACAGGTGAATCGCAGCGCAGGCCCTTGGCATCCTGGAGCAAAGCCCTGCCACCCCCACAGATAACTACTCTCCTCTTGAGAAACGGCTCTGGCCTGCTACTGGGCCTCCTCAGAGACGGAGCGCTTAACCCTGGGCACCAAGTCACCACGCGACCTGAGCTGCCATCACGACCTGGGCGTCACCTGACCCATCCAGCCGTAAAGCTGCGCGTGCACAGTGGCACTCCATCACCAAGTGGAAGTGGTGGATGCGGCCCGGCCCAGCAGGCCTGAAGGCACAAATGAGTCACGTGAAGAAGTGGTCCAAATGCCCCCGGTCCCCCCTCCTGCTACACCTTCTCCTCCCAGCCTGCACCGACGGCCTCACGGGGAGTCCCCATGATCAGCTGACAGAGGAAGAGCTGACCACCCGGGAGTGGACAGCCGCAGCCCGACAGCCCCTACCTGGGACATCCCTGAAGGACACGGTGAAGGGACATCCTCCCGGGGCAGAACCTGGAGCAGCGCACCTGGCCGTTCACTTTACTTGGAAAGGGAAAAGACCTGACGTGTGATTAGATGCCAGTTCTTGGGCTGTGGCCAATGGTTTGGCTGGATGGTCGCTACTTGGAAGAAATATGACTAGAAAACCAGTGAAAAAAGAAATTTGGGGAAGAGGTATGTGGGCAGAGCACTTTGAAAGGGCAAAAAACCATGAAGGTATTCGTGCCCCATGTAAATGATCACCAAAGGGTGGCCTCAGCAGAAGAGGATTTTAATAACCATGTGGATAGGATGACCCCGTCTGTGGGTACCAGTTAGCCTCTCTCCTCAGCCACTCCTGTCATCGCCCAGTGGGCTGATGAACAAAGTGGCCATGGTGGCAGGGATGGAGGGTGTGCATGGGCTCAGCACCACGCACTCCACTCACCTAGGCTGACCTGGCTGTGGCCACTACTGAGCACCCAATATGCCAGCTGCAGAGGCCGACACTGAGCCCCCATATGGCACCATTCCTCGGGGTGGTCAGCCAGCTACCTGGTGGCAGGTTTCCTACACTGGCCCACTTCCATAGCGGAAGGGGCAGCATTTTGTTCCTACTGGAATAGACACTTACTCTGGATAAGAATTTGCCTTCTCCGTGTGCAATGCTTCTGCTGAAATGGCTGGTGGGGACTTACAGAAAGCCTCATCCACAGTCATGGCGTCCACGCAGCATTGCGTCTGAACAAGGAACTCAGTTCACAGCAAAAGAAGTGCACCAATGGGCCCGTGACCATGGAATTCACTGGTCTTGCCATGTTCCCCACCACTCAGACACAGTTTGTTGACAGAACAGTGGAATGGCCTGTTGAAGACTCAGTTACAGGGCCAGCTAGGTGGCAACACCTTGCAGGACTGGGCAAGGTTCTCCAGGATGCTGTATATACTGTGAATCAGCGTCCAATGTGGGGCTGTTTCTCCCATAGCCCGTGTCTACAGGTCCAGGAATCAACGACCCGTGTATACTGGTCCTTGATATCACCTATTACCTCTAATAAATTTTTGCCTCTTGTTTCCATGATTTTATGCTCTGCAGGTCTAGAGGTCTTAGTTCCAAAGGGAGGAATGCTTCCATCAGGAGACACAACAATGATTCCACCGAACCAGAAGTTAAGACTGCCGCCCGGCCCTCTTCGGCTCCTCATGCCTCTGAATCAACAGGCAAAGAAGGAGTTACTGTGCTGGCTGGGGTGACTGATCCTGACTACAGTGGAAACTGGACTGCGACCCCACAGTGGAGGCAAGGGAGAGCATGTCTGGATTATAGGAGATCCCTTAGAGCATCTCACAGTATTTCCATGTCCTGAGATTATGGCCAATGGAAAACTATATCCCAATCCAGGCAGGGCTAGGAATGACTCAGACCCTTCAGGAATGAAGGTTTGGGTGACCCTATTTAGTAGAGAACCATGACCAGCTGAAGTGCTTGTTGAAGGCAAAGGGAATAGGGGTGGGTAGTGGAAGAAGGAAGTTATAAATACCGGCTACGACCATGTGACCAGTTAGAGGACTGTAATTGTCATGAGCATTTCCTCCTTATTTCGTCATGAGTACCTGTGTGTGTAAAGCAAACCTTTGTCTTCTTTCCTCTCTTATGATGTAACATAAGAGTTTTACAGCATAGAATTAAGTTACGGGATGTCAAGAAGAGTAAGCATCACTTAAGGAACACACACACACGCACACACGCAGGCAGGCAGGCAGACAGACAGACAAACGCGCGCGCGCAGGTTCTGTTTCTCTAGAGCCTAACACTCTGTATTTGTTCCTTACAGGTCTCCAGGTGAGGACAAAATGCTTCCAGGATTAAAACTCTGACATAAGAGATTACAATTACTAAATCATGTTAGGAGAAATAAGTTTTGGGGAAAAATTCATTACCTGGACTGGTCAGCACCTGGCAACAAGCAGCAATTTTCCAAAAAACAAAAATCACACAAAAACGCCAAAAAGTGTTTTGAAAAAGTGCTTTGACAATTTACTGTACAGTGTTTTTAACAATTTATTTATATGTCGGCTTCTACATGCTCTTACATTTGTGTAAAACATTTGTACATATTCTTTACAATTTGTACATATATTAAATGGCTGTATCATAAACACTGTTCTATGAGATTTTATAAAAGGAAAATCAAGTAGGGAAAATTACTTATAAAACATTAACAAAAACCCGTGATATTAAGAACAAGAAGTTCTCATATTCATCTTCATTTGATTTCCTCTTCTACTAATTTTTTGGTTTCAGTTTATTTATGCTGGCCCAAATTTTCCATTTTCTATAATTCCTAGGTCATAAAAATGAGAGCAGTTGGAGAGACTGTCGTAAGGCCACGGTGGAGGGTGGACGGCGTCTGCAGGAGCAAGGTCGGTGTGGCGGCACGTGTTCAGATTCAAAGCTGACGGTTTGCAGAGTCTGCTTTGCTTTATGCCATTAGCTGAAGTACTAGCGATGAGAAAAATTCAGTCTGAAGTTTGGGACACAGGCTGGAAGAAGAGCCCTCTGCACTTTTCTTAAACACGAACGCTCTGGGGGTTACTGCGCATTCTTCAGGCTGCAGCCCTTATCAGTGCCTAAACTTTCCATTTTACTCAACTGTGTTTTTCATCTTTTCAGGTAATACCAACTGGCCTGCTAGTGTACAATCCAAATCAAGTGGCGCATCGTGTCTCGCTGGCACTTCTCACTATGCCTGACTGAACAGCTGAACACTGACAAGGGGGTTAAACGCTCGGGAGGAGCCTGTGTGCCCCCTGAGTGCTCCTTCCTGAGCACAGGAGTCAGGGCGCCGCTCCAGGCCCGGGAGCAGGCCGAGCATTTCAAAAACATCCCCAGCGTTTCCAGGTGTTCTTCCTAGTGTCAAGAACGCCTCCCCATGCTCAGGAAGGAGGTGCCAGAGAGAAAGCCCTCCTGGGGGAAGACGACGCTTCAAGGACGTTCCTAAGGAAAGCGAGGGCAGGAGAATCTGCCCATGGGTTTTTGCCAAGCTGCGTCCTCTAGGCCTCTCTGCTCCCTCTCCTGAAAACATAAGCACTTGAGTCATAAATATGTCAGTGAAAGGCATGTGGATTCTCCTGAAGAGACAGGAATCCCAAAGGACAGAAAAGTTATAAAAATATACAAACATATATATTTTTTATTCTGGCGTATTTCATATTTTTAAGAAAGCAATTAGTAATTATCTGACACGGGGTAAGAACAAGAAGATTGCAGGTAACTTACAAATTACAATTTTATGTAAAATATCACTGGGGGGAACCCCTAATTTTCTGTTCAAAATTCTGATAACTTTAAGTACTTTCCAAAAATAGAGAATTTCCATTGGTTAATAATGGATATGGAAACGAACAAAAGAAGACCATCCCCAGATAACGGATGCATTCAGGCTGGTTAATAAAGTAAAGGCAGTTTTTTGCAACTCTACTTCTTTTTGGTTTTCTTTTTTTCCTGTTTTTCTTTGTTTTGGAAGATAGGGGAAAAAACTGAATTGCATTGCCCCAAGTCAGAAAGAAGCACTTCGGAGTTTTCTTCACATTCCGTTCTGTTCTACATGACCGGGAAGCGGCCGAGGGCCTGCCTCAGCTTTTCTGCAATCTGGTGAAGAAAGAAAACAATTTTGAGATATTATTCCCATTATGACGTTGTAGTATTCTATTATTTCCACCTCTTATAAGTTAAACATTACAAAAATTTCAAGTACTTTCACTGGTCTGTGCTTCCAGTCCCTCCTGGCATCAACCCAGCCTCCACCCTGCAGGAGAGACCTCCTTATACCCCAGATGGTGGTGCCACAGCCTGCAGGAAGCCCCGGCTCCTCCCCATGGCCCCTGCCCGTCTGCACAGCAGCATTTCCAGATGACCCGCTTTTCCCCAGCGAGCCAGGTGGACGGGTCTGCGTTTGGGCCTGCATTCCTCCTGCGGGGCACCTATGAGCTCCTGAGACCCAGCTGACGAGCCTGCGGCTCCTACACAGTGCGGACAGTACACACCTTCCTCTAAGGCTGGGGCTGCACTGCGTCAGGATTCTGGGCCTCGGTCTCCCCCACGGGGACCCAGCTCCTAGGAAGACACAGCTGTCTGAGTCGTCCCTGGGGCCTAAGCAATGGAGTGAGCGCTTGGTATATAAGAGGCACTCAATCAATGTTTGTTACATGAACAAATACACACATTTTAATAACTTAAGGGTTACCTTCTCATAAAAGCAGGTTAGATCTAACAAAGATGGTGGTTAAATACCTGGTTTTCTATTTTGAATTACAATGTCACTGATAACTACAACTCACCTGGGCTTGAGTCTTAAGTGATCAACATTACCGGAATTTCAGGAGTTGCCCTTCAATTATTTTCGGACATAGAACAACGTAATCTGTTATTCTAACACCTGATGCAAGGCAGCCCTACTGGCACCAACTAATAGAAAGTGTCTGGTTGGAGAGTGCAGGAGCCGCACACTGCGGGGGAGAAGCAGCTGGCGGAACGCTTTCTGTAAACTCAGCTCCGACCCCCAGTTCACAACACGCATGGGGCGCCTCAGCCAGAGCTCCCTCTCAAGCACCCGCCGTCGGAGACGCGAGTTCGGCAGCGTCCAGCCCAAAGGCGACAAGGCCTGCACATGAGCGTGGGGCTTGCCTGCCACGTCCCTGAAGACACATGAGCTAACACCACAGAACAGTGGGGACCTTAGGAAGAAACACGGCCACCAACACACGGTCAAATACAACGTCACAGAACTTGTCTTCAGGTCTGCGTTTCCATGCAAGATCTTTCTTTTCTGTACACTGATAAACAACAAAATTACTACGTAGAGGCATAAGAGTTTATGTTTTCATGATTGTTCTCTGAATGAAAGTATTTAAGGTTTCGCTCTCTTTTGTTTTCTTTCTGGAATTCCTCTTATGCATTGTGAAACCTCCCTCATCAACAGCCTGCCCGTGGTGTGTGCCGTGCCAGGCTCCGCGGAGAGCGTGCTGTGCAGTGTCCCTGTGCCCAGAGGCTGGGAGGAACTCAGGAACGACACAGTCAGGACTTCTGGGACCTCACGACTAGCGTCCAACACCCCTTCTTCTTCAAAAGAAAACCTTTTCTAACCCAGTGTTACTCAAAAAGGAAAAAGCAGACAGAAATAAGAGATTTGAAAAAACCCTTGCTCAGTATTTGGCCTCCTTTGGTTTGTTACTGAGCATTACAAAAACACCAACAGATCGACTTCATCTGGTCCGAGTTGGCAAGCAGGAGCCCTCTCTCCAGGCCCCGCACAGCCCAGGGAGGCAGGCGGCTTACCGTCTCGTAGAAATGCACCTGCTGCTCCAGGTACAGGCGGATGACGCTGTTGTAGTCGTAGATCCGGTTACTGTGAAAGTGGTTCATCTCGGCTGCAAGCAAAACCAAGACGTCAGTCAGCCCCAGGCGCCAGAGGACAATACCTGGCCCCCTGCTCACGTAGGACTCATCGCTGCCAGGTTTAACCTGGCTGCAGGGCAGTGCCGGTTCTTGGCAAATCACTTTACAAAGAGGCTAGAAAAGCAACTGGATCAGTTAATGGCAAACAACACTTTTTAGTAGATGGATGATTTTTTGCTGATTTGCATGTTAAATACGATGAAACCCAAAACGGATTATCACCCAAATGTGGACTATTGTTCTAACGGAACTGATGGAGCAGGAAACCACTTGGTGGTAATTCTCCTCAGATGACTGCGGGTCAGAATGCCACGTCTGTCTGCAGCGGAGCTGGCAAGGCCCCAGTGGGCCACGTTCCCTCTCGCACAGCGACCGCCTAGGCAGGTGTCTCAGGGCCTTTGGAAGGCTGGGCAGACGAGCAGACGCAGTGGACACCCTCTTCAGTAATGGCGCTTTGCAGCCTGAGCACCAGGGCTGTCAGGATGCAGCCTCTCACCAGGCGAGAGCATCTGACACCCACTCTTCATCTTGGCTGAAGGTACATATTCAGCACATGAATCCCCTATTGAAGTTTCTCTCAACACCGTCCCCACCCCATCACAGCTCTGGCGAGGCCTTCCTTATTGGAGCCCCTCATCGCCTCCCCACCTGCCTTTGCCATGATTCCCCGGGTGCAGAAAGCCAAGGGCTGGTGTAAATTCCTACAGAAAGCTAATTGTTCTGGGTGGTGGCAGTTCTTTTTTTTTGGGTGAAGAAGATTCGCCCTGAGCTAACATCTGTGCCAATCTTCCTCTACTTTGCATGTGGGATGCCACCACAGCATGGCTTGACGAGCGGTGTGTAGTCTGTGCCCGAGACCCAAACCTGTGCGCTCTGGGCTGCTGAAGTGGAGCATGCAAAATTAACCACTGTGCCACCAGGCTGGCCCATGGGTTTTACAGTAAGTCACCTGAAGTTGTACAAAACTTCTCATTTACCTCAAACATAAGTTCAAAGCCAAATTCCCCATTTCAAACCCTCCAAACCCAAATCTTCAATCAGGTTTCCCCAGTTCTGCCCCTAGTTGCCTCAGTTCTGGAACTCTTGCACCCATTCTTCTCTTTCTCCACTAATTCCCTAGGCCTGCAGCTTGTTCCTTGAAAAGCCTGCAGACGCGCTTCACTCTCCTCCCCCAGCACCACATCTTCTTTAGGCCCTTAGAATCTCAGCGCAGAAGCAGCGGTCGTCTGGCTGGGCTGCCTGGCGAACGTCTGCCCTCCATGGCGCTATCAAACTCTGCTCCCTTGACCATTTTTTTTTCCCCATCAAAAACTTTAAGTGGCTTCTTAATGCCCACATCGAGTCTAGACTTTTCTGCCTGGCTTTCAGGGACCTCCACAATCACCAAAACTTATTCCCCGATAACCTGCAAGTATGCTTTATTCCTGAAGGCCAAGGACAGAATCTTGGACCATTGTTTTGTGTGCTTTTTTCATCTTACAACATCCTTCCTCTTTCTCCTTTGCCCACACATATTCTGTCCATCCACCAAAACGGGAAAAATTCATTTACCGCTCCTGTCTGCAGGAAAACACTCAAAGACATAAAAATTAATTAACACCTTCTTTTTAATAACAGTCACACTATGCTGAAAATGCTACATCCACACTCCCTTCACATTCTGTGGTCCGGGGCATGAAGGTTACACTGCTAAAGGCTGAACTTTGGAGTCTAACAGAGCTTTGTGACAGGTGCTGATGTCAAGGGCTGTAAAGGCATCTCTAACATCTCTAAGACAGGTCTAATCGAGCTGTCACCCACAGTTACGGCAGGTAAATGTGCGAAAGAGTAAATAAATATTACAGATCTTCATTAACACTGGGATCCTGCAAACAGGAGGCGTATGAGGATATTTTAAATCAGCTTTCATTTATTCAACTGTCATTCACAGTTGGCTTTCTGTCCAGCAAGGAAAACAGCCACTTTGCTGGGGGAAAGGTCTCCACCAGCTAGGCGTAAACCTCTGGTCTTACCTTGTAGCGCGTACGACATGGTGCCCACGCGTTTCACCATGTTCTGCTTGTCCTGCGGGGTGATTTTACTAGTGGCAACCAGTTTATCGCTTTCTTTCACTTTTTCTATGGCTCCCTGTGAAATAGAAAATGCAATGGTATTACGAAAACAAAGCTAAAAGGATTAGTCACTCGTTTAAACTACAAGAGTGCTAGCGTCTTCTACAACTGCCTTGCTACTGAACAGGAAAATGTCCCCACGAAACAGGAACATCATCGATAGGAAAAGCATCAATAGGAAAGCAGTGAAATGTAACTGCCTCTAAGTCACTAGCGAGCAAAAAGGCTGCCACTGTTGAAAAATGGAACTAAGTTAAGGTTTATAGTTTTATTTTATAACAAAATAGAAAACCCCGAGCACACTGTTTGCGTGATATTTATAAGCCAATGCCAGCACAAGGGCAGGGTTTAAGGGGAAAGCTGGCGTTGGTGCGTTAGAGGGTCCTCTGAGGAGGGCAGTCCTGGGTGCACGCTCAGGTCCTCTCTGCGTTACAGTGTTTCCTGAGCTGCTGCCTAAGCCAGCTGGTCCTGAGGCTCAAGCTTCACCATATTGTCTGTAAGCAGCACTGAATCAACTTTAAATTAACACTTAGATGGAAGTAGTTTAAAAGCTGCCAAACATCTCCCACTCCAGTATCATCACACTGCTCATTACTGAGAGCCGTCTGGAAAGAAAAGCCCTCTCCTCCTGCATAAATTAGGCTCCATGCCTATAATGCTAACTCGGCTGGCACAAATTCCGAAAACATGCTAACTGTTCTGAGTTTTTCATTTATTGAAATTTTTATTTATTTATTTAATCCCCCTCCCCCAGTTTAACTGAGATATAATTCACATATAACACTGTATTAGCTTAAGGTGTACAACATAATGATTCTGACACATGTACACATTGTGAAATGATTACCATAACGAATTTTGTTAACATCCATCACCTCACAGAGTTATAAACGTTTTTTTCCTCGTGATGAGAATTTTTTAAGATCTGCTCTCCTAGGAATTCCACTTGTGGGTGTATATCCGAAGGAAACGAAATCACTGTCTCCAAGAGGAACCTGCACCCCCATGGTCACTGCAGCTTTATTCACAACAGCCAAGATATGGGAATAACCTAAGTGTCCACTGGCAGATGAGTGGACAGAGAAAGCGTTTGGAGTCTTCCGTTAAGCTGTCTGAAGCTGCACAGCCTTCTTGTTTCCTATGTCACCCTTCGTGGTGCTTCAATTACAAGCCAAATGCCAAATGGCCACAGGCAGGACTGTTGGGCTCACAGACCAGCCCTCGAGAGGGATTTTCCTAACAAACCCAGGTACATCGCAATATGCTGGGGGCACTGCAGTTGCTAAATACCCACGATTCTGAGGTAATAGACAGATTTTGACACAGAGACAGAAAAACTATCCATAACCAAAACCTGAGGACACCCTAAGCCAATTTCTCATTTAGTTTAAAAATATCTTTTTGCTGGGAATTATATAGTTTCCTTTTTATTAATACAGACACATAAATCAAGATTCTCATTTCAATTTTAATTAGGAAACCCTTCACGAGGCTCAGGGACAGAAAATCTTGTTTCGTCTCGACTTGCCCACAGCTCACGGGGTCTCACTGATGAGGGAAAGTATTATTTTTACTACCGTCTTGAATTTCCAACACCATGACCATTCTGACACATGACCTAACCACATGCATAAAGAAATATTCTTCATATTTTCACTTCCCTCAAAATCACCTTTTATAGAAGAAAAGACATGTAAAAACCACCCCTAGTTTTATGGGACCTCGCTACTGAAACACGTTAGCGGGCCCCTCCTCCCGACTCAGGCATGTGCTGACAGGCGAGGGGCGCAGGTGGCCAGGCACAAGGCCCTGTGTCACCGCAGCATCCTCCGGAAACTTCCACCATCAGGTTACCTTGTGAGTGCCAATAATATCCGGGAAGCAGCCAAGGAAACCTTTGTATTCGTGATTACACTCCATCAGGAAATGCAGATCCTTCTTCGGCTATAACAAGACACAAGGTGGTTGTTACCGGCAGAGGAATTCAGACGGTCAAGGAAAAGAAAACTGTCAGATCTGAGGACTGCTAGCCAAACCCCAGGGACCACGTTCAGTTACTGAGTGCCACACATTCAGCCTTGTTTTCCTACAAGAAAATAACCCCCAAGACTACTATACTCTCCATCACAGGTTGTCAAGAAAACGATAAAACATCGGATCATTTTCAGGTTGGTTGATAAAATTAGCAATTTGGGGTAGCCCAAAATACTGTGAGAAAAAAAAACTAGTTAAGAATGTATATAAGCAAAAAAGATGCTATAATGTCTAAATTTTAGCAGAGAATATAAAAATATTAATAAATCTGGTAATTATCTTAAGAGGCAACTTTGAATTTTTTCATTTTTCTGAATTACAATTTTTAACAGCTATGTTATGTACAGTTCTAAAAATGCATCTTTTTTACAATTATCAGGAGAGTGGTTAATGACCACATGAATGCGTACACATGAGTGTGTATGCACAAACATTTTCCTAGAAGTCATCTGGAAAAAAAATTTTTTACTTTAGAGATTTGAAACAACTGAGATGGTTATTCTCCTTAAGGGAACTTATTATCTTTTGTCTGTAAAAAGAACTGAAATCAGGCTCCTAAAGACTGCAGTGAAAGCCATGTGGCTGGAACGAAGCCCTGCTCCATGCCAGGAGCTGGGGCAGGAGCTTCTTCTCTACAGTTGCTGAGTCCTGAGATCCTCACGGAGTCGGAGCTACCGTCGAAATTTACCAGATGAGGAAACCAAGGCTCAGAGAGGCTAAGGGAGTCCAAATGGAGACCTGGGCAACGCCTCGTCCCGTATGTCCTAATCCCCTGACGGCCAAGAGGGGATCCCAGCCACTGACACTGGAAGGTATTCATAGATTTCTTGAAGACAGATTTATCCATCACTTCAGCTTAACCTACGAAACACTATTACCAAATACAGCTAACAAAGATACATAGGGCCAGAAAGGAAGAGGATAGCCATTTCGAAAGTGTCTTAAAACAGGTTTTAAATGAAACGTGCATTAACTAGTATAAAATCTTAACTGGCATTACGTGGTTCTGTTTATACCTGTTCTGCGACAAGACTGGCAATTTCTTCGTAAGTCTTCCCTGCTTCCGTTATTGCGTCATTGAGATCTGTTTCGCCTGAAAATCATTCAGTTATACCAGTGGTTATAAGTTAGACTCTCTTTTCATTTATTTAAGAAGTTTATTACAGACAATTTCAAACTTTTAAAAACTAGAGAACAGGACAATGAGCCCCCTCCACCCATCACCTGGTCTCCCCTTTAACAGCTCATGGCCAATCCTCTTTCACCTGGACTGTCTACTCCCTACCCCCCTTCACTGGTCACATAGCATTTCATCCACAGATTTTACGTAAAAGGTAAGGAGTCTTAAAAAAATAAGGACAATATAGGAGCACTACAGCTAAGGCGACAAGCGTTCCTGATATAGACTATCCAGTCAGCGTGCCGCTTCTTGGTGTCTCCTGTCAAGGCGGCTGCTTGAATCAGGAAGAAGGAAGGTCCACCCGGCATAGAGCCGATGAGTTTCTTAATCCACAGGTTACTTCTCCCCGCCCCCTTTTTCCTTGCAAATTTCTCTTTGGGGGATTGAAGAAACAGTTCATCTGCCTTGGGACCCCGTCTGGGTTTTGCTGACTGCATCTCTGTGGTGATGACGTAACAGTCCTGTCTCCCGTATCTTTCTACACCAGTCGTTAGATCTAGAGGTTTGATCGGATTCAGAAGACACGTTGTCCAGTCATTTCTATTCTGTACAGTGTTAGAAGCCACAAATGATCCCTGTCTGGACCTTTTATTTCAGCACAGGTTTGCAAAATGCTGCTACTCTGCTTCTAGCACTCCTTCTTTATCAGCTGAAATGCTTCTATAAAGAGAAACTTTCCTTCATCAACTTTTCGGTTACCCTGAGGCAAGTCTGAACAGGAAAAGCAGATTAAATGCTTGATTCCTTGTCTTTACAGTTTTCAGAATAATGAGGTGATTCCCTACCATCCCCAAGGGTAACAGAGATTAACTTCGTTTAAGCATCATTGTGAGTCTGGACTGAAACAGACTTGGTGTGCTTCACTCCACAGTGATGATTACTTCCGCTGATGCTCAGATCTCCTCTTCACTGGCCAGTGGAAGGCTCTTCAAGCTCGCTGCAGAGTTCTTTTTGATAAGCAGGAGCGCTGGCGCATTTCAGGGGGACAAAGTGTTTAGAAATCACCATGTGGGTGATGTCAGGCTGCCTCTTGCTACCACATTGGGTCACTATTTGTAGGCCTTTTCAGTGAACACAGCAAGGCAAACTGTATTACTTTTCAAAGGGGAAAACACATGATGAGCTCATGTTGATATTTCTAATTCCAATTTAGGACTCTAGGGCTTTTCTGAATATATTTTAAAACTTCTGATTTTTATGTTTATCTCTTTCATTTAAAAAATCTTCGTTGTTAACAGTAACATAATTACACACTTGCCTTACCCTGCAATATCTACAGCAGTTCCAGAAGAACCTGATCATTTTGGAGGCATGTGAATTCTACCACATTTTTTTACGAGAATGAGTAATCTATGAAAAGACTTATTTACAGCGTCAAGTCGTCGGAGAACTTCTCCAGGAACCATTTCCCAGATTATAACTGTCTTCTCTTTCCTCCCTTCCCAAGACTTGGCGTTCACTTATCTGCACCCTCCGTAATCACAGCAGATTCAGGCAACAGCAAGTGATACCTTTGTCTCTTTGAGCAGCGACCAGGAGAACAAGTGAACTGCTCTTTAAAAATTCCATGGTCTAGCTCTCAACAGTTTCTAAGTTTTATATGTGACTTCAAGTGACGAGAGACCCCAAATCTGGGCACATTTATTATAACCTAGCAACGAATTCTGAAATGACTGAAGGACCATTGTTAGCCTTAACAACCTAATCTCGGAGAGGTCCCGTTTCTAGATAGGATGTGGATGACTGCAAGGCTGCTGCTCTCATCACAACAAGAAAACACCAAAGAAATTAACAAGTCATACTTTTCCTCAGAGTCATGGAATCTCTGCTGGAAGGAAGAAATGCAAACACATAAACTCAGACAGTGGTGAGCCTGCGCCCCAGGCGAGCTGCTGGGTCTGGGGGCACCGAGGGGTGGAAGAGGGAGCCTTCCACCGGCAGAGGAGCTCTGCTGAGACAAGCAGGCACCCACTGAGCTTTCACCAGACACATGGGCTGGTGTCAGGGACCTGAACCTGGAGGGGCCCCAAGACAGAGCTGGTTCTCCCACAAGGACTTTGTGGACCGAGAAGTGACAGTGGGAAGTGAGGGCAGGGCTGAAGAGCAGAGAGACCTCAGGTGAGGTTTAAGGCAGGCGTGGATTCAGATGAGCTCTGACATAGAAGGACGCCATGGGGACCAACCAGATGTTTTTCCAGAAACTCCAGAACAAACTCAAGACACTAGAGAGCCACAGAGACGAACGGGCTCTCAGAGTCTGCCCAGCACCTGAGCAATGGATATGGCTCTAGTCTTGGCTCATCCATCAACCACCTGTGGTACCCTGGCCAAGGTGCTTATGTTTCCAGGCCTCAGGTCGCCCATCTTGAAAACGAGGGAACCAGACCAATCTTCAAAGTTCCTGTCCAGCCTAAAAGTTCTGATTATAAGACACATTTCAGCCAGGCCGATGAGAAATATTCACATACGGGGGCCCCGAATCTTAAATTTTGGTGAGACCAATTTCTTATTCCTGAGAATACTCAGAGACTGACACCCAAAGACCTACCTTCCCTGGGGATCAGGAAAACACCCTGGTGAAACGCCAGTTCTGTCATTTCGATAAGTGACAGACACACTCAAATTTAAGACGTGTCACTCACCTGACAAATCCTTTTACTTCCAACCTGCTCCACAGGTCAAATTACGTAAACATAAACCAAAATATAAAGGAGAAACAGCTAAGATGCTCTCATGAGTGTTGTCAGTGTGAACACAGCTCAGTGAACTCGAAACACCACAGGTGAGCCACAGAGCTCGGGGCACGCTGAGACCAATTGTGAGTTATGGAGAGACACAGGCAACGTGAATTGGTTACTTAGTCAAAAACTGCTCCTCCCAATGACATTGATGGGTTCTGGCCTCTGTAACAGGAAGACTTGACTTCAGAGTGTGGCAGAGAAATGAGAGCAAGGGCAGAGTGTTAGGTATCGCCCGCCTGTTTTATTACAACCCAAGGGCTGTATCTGAGCACAAAGAAGCTGGCAAAAAATAGAAATTCTAACAACCTTCACTTTTCTCGAAAGTAACACGGTGAGGTCACGGAAGTCCCGACTGGAGTCGCCTGGCCACTTTAGGGTCAGGGACAAGGGTTCTTGACTGTGGGGTTACCGTTGGTCTGCAAGAGCCTGAAGAGGCAGCTGGTTTGGATAAGACACTGGAGCCCCAAAGAATAAACAAAGACAGACGTACCTTGATAACCACTGGAACTAAACACCGTCGCTAAACTCTGCAGCGCCTTTCCTATCTTCTGATATTCCTTGGGTAATGCTGGAAGAGAAAAAGGAAAAAATTGTTGACTAGGCCTCTGAGTGAACTGAAATGGGTTTCAACTATTTTCTAAAAGTGATTCCTTTTATAATAAAAGAAATTTGAAGTGATTATAGTCTATGTGGTGGTTTTTTTAAAGATTTTATTTTTCCTTTTTCTCCCCAAAGCCCCCGGTACATCACTGTGCATTTTTAGTTGTGGGTCCTTCTAGTTGTGGCATGTGGGAGACTGCCTCAGCGTGGCCTGATGAGTGGTACCATGTCCTCACCCAGGATATGAACCAGTGAAACCCTGGGCTGCCGAAGCAGAGTGCGCGAACTTAACCACTTGGCCACGGGGCCAGCCCCAGGATTTAACTCTTTAAAAGAAACCATAATCCTGAGGTTCTGTGATACCTCTAAAAGATTTGATTGCAAGACTTACACTCATTTAAAATATTTCCAAAAAAAGGAAATAGCTTTCAAAGAATATACAGATTTAAATGATCTGCTATTATGGCCTCCTAAGAGTTTATAGCTAAAATTAATTATTTTAAAATGAAATTACTATTTTAGAGAAATGTCATTCCCCTTTTTGCTAAAGAGTTATTCCCTGTGACCACGGCTTGAAACAGATTTTGTCTTTTGGTTTTTTGTTGTGAGGAAGATGGGTGCTGAGCTAACATCTGTGCCAATCTTCCTCTGTTCCACGTGGGATGCTGCTGCACAGCGTGGCTCGACAAGTGCTGCTGGGTCTGCGCCCGGGATCTGAACCTGCGCACCCGGGGCTGCTGAAGCAGAGCGTGAGAACTTAACCCCCACGCCACCGGGCCAGCCCCTGCGTTTTTTTATAATGCTGCATTTGTATACATTATTTTTTCAGTCTTCGTTCTATCCTTAGGACACAGCATCATATTTCTTTGCCATGAGAAAGGAGCAACTGTTATTACTCCTGGCGTCTGGCCCTCGAGCACGAGCAGCTGCTATACTACCAGGGGTTTTGTTATTATTATGCGAATGGCAGAGGGCCATTCAGTCTAAGGCTTGGCCTTTTCTCCGCAAAGGCCAGACAGTAAATATTTCAGGCTTTGTGAGGCCACAGGTTTCTGCTGAAAGCACTCAACTCTGCCACTGCAACAGGAAAATAGCCACAGACAATGCGCAAATCAATGAGTATGGCTGTGTTCCAGTAACACTTTATTTACAAAAACAGGCAGCAGGCCAGACTTGGGCTGCAGGCCACGGTTTGCCACCTTCTGATGTAAGGCTTAGATTCCGGGTCTGGATTTAATAGACCTTAATACCGCTGTTAACTTGGCTTTGCTGTTTGAAGAATTCATCTACAAGTCACTTCACGATTCACTTTCTTGTTCATGAAAATTATTTTCTGACTTCAAAATTCTGATTCTTTTCCTTTACTTAGAAGAAAAATACCACCTTTTAAAAAATCTTCACAGAAACAGATAACTAAGCTCCTCCGTACGCTGAGTACCACAGGACTGACATACTCTGAAGGCAGGTATGTATTACTTTTACACAAACTAGAAACCATTTTTATTTTTAAGAAATAACCAAATACAACCAGTATTCTTGTAGAGTGTAAGAGCTGAAGGCCAGAAAACTCTTCGTGAGAGACTAGCACTGCCTCGAATTTTCCCAGAGATTCCCCTGGGCGGTTGCAGCTAGAGCTCAGCCTTCTCTCTGGGACTCAGAAGGCTGCTGGCAGTGAGCGCAGGATGGATGGATAGACCGGGGAGAAAACTCCTGTACCCTAGGCAGTCAATGGCATCTGTGCGAGTCCACTGCCTCTACAGCCTTCCGGGCCTCAGGGGTAATGGGGCAGCATGCTGTGGCGCGGTCCCCACAGCCGGACTCCTGTGTCTCTCCCCTGGGCCACCTGACAACAGAGCTGCACGGTTCTGGGGAGCACAGGAAAACACAGTCCAGCAGAATGACGGTCTACGAACATAGGGAAGGGGGGGGACACGAAGTTCTCAAGGACATGGAAAGAGCAGGAAAGGCCATGGCTGCCAGCGCCTCTTTCCCCCAGGCCTGCTCCTAGCCTGACCCTCTTTTGTATTTTCTATTACCAACTATACTAGTCTTTCCTAAAAATTAGGGCTTTGGTCAAATATACATCTTCCCAAATGGATGAAGATTAAAAGGTAAAATTATAAGATTAAAAATAAACAAAAGCACTCTCTAAACATGCAGAAAAAATGAATTTTCCATAGGTTACAAACTGCAAATAACTGGAAATATTTAAGTGAACATGGTGGGGCTTCTTTTTGTGAGGAAGACTGGCCCTGAGCTAACATCTGTGCCAATCCTCCTCCATTTTGTATATGGGATGCTGCCACAGCATGGCTCGATAAGCAATGTGTAGGTCTGTGCCCAGGATCAGAACCTGCAAACCCAGGGCCACCGAAGCAGTGTGTGTGAACTTAATCACTAAGCCACCAGGCCGGCCCCTGAACATGGTGTTTTGTGTCAGAGTTCTTGAACTGGCTTTATTGGAGCCCCTTTTCTGTTGTCCAACTAGGGCTGAAAAGTGGGGTTCGTCAAAGAGCTCTGGGAACCATGTGACTTCAGTTCACGGCATGCATTTTTGTTTGGGGGGTACAGTTCCTCAGTGTGATGGAAGTCATAAAGCTGAGCCTGCGTCGCCACCTCTAAAAACCGGAGGACGGCACTTACGTCCTGTGCACCGCTTCCAGTGCTCCTGGCCCACCGTCAGCAGCTCCTTCACGCCATCGTCCATGGCTTTGGTGAACTTACCCACAGCATCACACTTCTGTTCTCTGTGGGGCAGAAACACAAGAAGGCACGTCCTTGCCTTTGCTATCAAATGTCCCAACAGGGTGAGGCATAAGAGTAGAAAGATCGCTGCGGTCAATGGAGACTCTCACCAAACAGAACCACGGCTACTGTTTTCTTGCATTATTAACAACTGTCCTTTAACTAAATTAGTCTTAAAAACAGGCTTGATGCAGGTTTTTCAAGAACTACTTAAAAATCTGCCATTTATATTTTAACTCTGCTTCCGTTCCCCCTCAATTCCTCGTGAATTTTAACGAAAATTATTCTAAAGTAAATAAAAGAATCATTTCTTGCATATCTTATTTAGTGAAATCCCATCACTGGAGGTACCGTGGACTATACAACAACATGGTTGCTGATGGCAGCTGCTCAACCATTCCAGCAATTCCAGCAAGCACTTTAATGAATCAGAGAAAATAACCTGCATGTGCAATCATCTCAGTGATACTGAACACACCAGTTCTCTAAGGATGTAAAAAGCATTTACCCACCTGAAAAAATTAGCATAATATATTGCTAAATGAAAAAAGCAGTATAATCATAAGACAGAACGCATAGTGTGAGATGGTTTTGTTTAAACAATTTTTTCTTTAGATACGTATGTACAGAGGAGGGTTTGTTTGGAAGACCAAACACTTAGGACAACATATTAACATGGTTTTCTGTCTGGGTAGCTGGAAGATTGTGGATTTTTTTCCTGTCAAAATTTTTGGTAACACACAAGCATTGATTTTGTGATAAGAAAAAAGCTTCTTAAAATAAAAAAATCCCCTAAGATTTCTTATTAGTCCTTATATAGAAAAGGAATTACTCCAGATTTTCAACCAAGCCTACATTAAAAAAAAAGATAACAGATTAAAAAAAACATAGAACAAGCAGGTCAGAAATTGCTTCCTTCAAGGCAATATTCAAGGAAATTTCTGCTTTGTTGAATATTCAGTGGGTGTTGGCTGGCTCTGGGCACTGTGTTCCATCATACTTTATTGGAAATAACTACTAACCACTGTGCCAGCCATGAAATCACTGGCTTCAAGGTAAAAGGAAGCAGACTTCCATCTGTTATGGCTAGAAAGACAGTGCTTTCATGTGCCCATGACGCTTTCCTTGTATCTGACTACAAACCCCACTCATTTCATACGCTCTAGTCTGACAATCGGAATTCCAGTTGTAGTTGTACTGGCCAAAACCTGTAAGCAAAGATGGCGGACACAGTCTGAGAAGGAAAGTTTGGCAATCTCTCTTACATTTCTAGCAAGTCTAAGTCAGGGGCCTCTGGTTCCATGGTGGAAAATATCATAACTCCCACCAGCTCGTCTTTCTCAGCCTTCCTCTTCCCAGTTTTCCACTCCTGTAAATAGGAACATTGTAACATTACAGTGAAAAGCAAAGTCAAACTAGTCTTTCAAAATTCCCTAACAGAATCAGCTCGCTGATCATCTTTATTTTTCTAACTTTCAGGAAGCAGCTCCCACGCCATATCCCTCTGCACCATGGACCAAACGCCCACACATCCCAAGTGCAATCCTGCATGTGAACGTGCCACTGCACAACGGTCCCATGAGCCCAGGACCTTCGGAGTGAGGTGAGTCAGCCACTTGCCTTGCCCACTGCACACCAACAGAAACACGGCGACAACAAACACACCCTAGCAATGTGAACAAATTGCTCAAACTTTTAGGTTAACTGCTTTCTAAAAAAGGTTAAAGCTTTTCTAAAATATAATATAGGAACTCATATTATGAGCTATTTATAAAAAACATATTATTGCAAGATATTTATATAAAAGTGCCCAAAGGAAAAATACACAGTATAACGAATTCTCACAACGTGAATTCCTGTCTAACTACCACGAGGCCAAGAAAGCAAAGAGCTAGCATTCCAGAAGCTCCTCATAGCCTTTCCCAATCGCTACCCCTTCCTTCCCCCACAAAGGGGCCGCTATCCTCTCTTCTATGGCTATCACTTCCTCACTTTTCTTTACAGTTTGACCATCTAAGAGTGAGTCCCTAAACTATAGGTCTGCTAGTTTTCTGAACTAGCAAAGAACTCTATGCAGCGTATTCTTTGGTGTCTGGCTTCTTCTGCTCAACCTGTGCGTAGGAGCTACACCCACGCTGCTGTTGCAGCTGTGGCTCACTCAGTCCATGGCTGTATAATATTCCACTGTACAAATATTTCCCAATTTATTTATCCATTCTACTAATGGTAGCCACCTCCAGCCCCTGCCAAGTTACGAATAAAGCTGCTAGATACATGTCTCCAAGTGTAAATGTGCACGCATTTCTGTTAGGTATATATTGAGGGTGGAAAATGGTTCAGCTTTAGTAGATAATGACAAACTGTTTTCCAAATTGGTCTTACCAATTTTCACGCCCACCAGCAGTGGGTGAGAGTTTCAGCAGCAACCCATCTCAAGAACACACTTGGTATGGTCAGTCTTGCTTATCTTAGCCATTCTGGGGAGTGTGTAGTGGTATTTGCTGTGTTTTCAATGCATTACCTTGATTGCTAGTGAGATTAGGTGCATTTCTATACATCTGGTGATGATTCACATACTTCCCTTTGTGAGGTACATTACCAAATCTCCTATTTTTCTCCTGGGTTATCTTTCTTATATTCTAAAATCCAGCCCTTTTTGGTTATATATCTTCATTTTGAGCTTTTCACTTTTAATAGCTTCTTTTGATAAAGAGAAGTTCTTAATTTTAATGTGGTCTAATTTATCAATCTATTCCTGTATGGTTAGTCATTTTTGTGTCTTATTTCAGAAATCCTTCCTTACTCTGGGGCTATGAAGATATTCTGCTATGTTACCTTCTAAAAGCTTTATTGTGTTGCCTTTCACATTTAGACTTGTGGACCATCTGGAATTGACTTCATTTTTATTTTTGATTTTATTTACAATGGAAACTTAAAAACATATAAAGTAGAGAGAAAAGCATAATAAACCCCTACAGACTCAGCTTCCACAACGATCAACATTTTGCCAATCTTGCTTTATCCACTCTTCTCCATTCTACCTTTCATCTTTTCCAGCTTACTTTAATGGAAATCTGAGACATAGTATCATTTCACCTATAAATACCTCATTACATGTCTTTAACAGATAAGAGCATGTTTTAAGAACATAACCACAACACCAATATCAACTGTAACAAAATCAACAGTAGATTTTTGTGAAGGAGGGACCACATTTTCTTTTTCCCCCAGTGACGCCATCCAACTGACCCAGCGCCATTTACCAAAAAGACTGTCCTTCCCCCACTAAACTCAGCACCACCTTTGTCATAAAGCAAGCGTCCCCTCTATTCTGCTCTACTGGTCTGTCTGTCCTTCGCCAATACTATGCTTTTAAAACTATTTTAGCTTTATAATGAGTCTTGCTGTCCCACCTCCCACTTCTTACTTTTTCAAGAGCATCTTGGCTATTCTCAGCACTTTGATTTTCTACATAAGACATCTTTTCTGATCTTCAACCCATGAAACAGTATTGGAAAATTTATTTAGGTCTTCTTTTATTTGTCTCAACAATGTTTCATACATTTTTAGGTACACTGATCATTTTTATTCCTAAATATTCGATATTTTTGATGCTATTGTAAATTATAGTTTTTTTAAGACTTTCCTTTTTGTTTTTTGCTCATATATAAACATGCAATGTTTTATATCCAGCTATCTTACTAACCACTTATTTCTAAGCATTTTTCTGCAGATTTTTTGGGATTTTCTAGGTCCACCCATCTCTATGAGCTACTATGGACCACAGAATCACCGTTTTTACTGATTATCTAGTTTTACACTGTCATTTAGTAGGAGAGGAAAGTATGGCCAAGAGATGAAATGCCATGGCTGAGACCACAGAGGTAATCAGAAGCAGAACCAAGACTAGAACTCAAGTGCCCTGGCTGCGCGTTCTTTCTTTTTTCTAATATATCAAAACCACCAAAAAAGCCAACGTCTAGATTTATTTTTTTAATAACAACATTCTGCATAAAACACAACCTTTAGAAGTGCATTCTAGATCAAATCCTTGGCAAATCAATCAAACAAGCCCGTGTTAAAGTCCTGTGGGGAATGAGTCAGGCAGAAAACCTGGAGGGGTCCGTGCAGTTTTGTAACTACACAGAATTCACCCAAAGAACCTAGTTTCACTACTATACAGCTACACGACATACTGTGACTGAATATCGCATCTCGCCAGGAAAACTAGAGTTTTCTAGAGCAGACCATAAGGCCAGACCTACGATACATACAAATTCACAGAGAAATGCTGAAGCGCATCAGTCTTTTCTAATTCCTGACCTGGTCACGTACAACACACGCAAATGAGCCCGTCAATTCTAGAAATAAGCGGTAACTGAAAATAAGGCCCCAAATATTTCAACTATGTTCAGTGTATGCCTAAGTCTGTAAACACATGCACAGCCCTAATATTACGCTTGTTATTGTAAACATGTTCACTGTATGAAGAGAAAAGTACCACAAAGACGTTTAGCAAGTAAATCTCTGAAATTCCAACACGGTATACAGTATTTTATTATTTGATCAAACATGAAAATAATGTCAAGACTTTCTTCTAGGATCGTAATATATCTCCTATCTGCCTTTGGCGCCCGAGCTAACTAATGCTTTTATTCTTCAGACTGTTTTCTAAGATATGTAATATTTGTTATGAGAGAAATTCTGGAGAAAACACCTTTGGAGAATAAAAAGGTACAATAAAGAGTACAGTAAAAGCTTGCTGAGAGAGAAAACGATTTCCAAAGCAGACAATAAGGAGATGTCAAGTAGCCAATTTTGTCTTGATTTTCAAAAAAGAACAGATGACTTGGCAGAATGACAGCCCACGGGGGCAGGCAGACCCCAGCATTTACTTTGCACTCACAACTACAGTTCTGGAAAACAACTTGGCTTTGAGAAGCACAATTTAATTCCAAACCTACTTTTCCTTTCAAAATGCTATTACACTGTAAGATGAAGACGTGACCGTGAGAAATCATTCACTCTACTGCCCTCACTTCATGCTGATATCCTGCGTGCTTTGGGGTTTATCCTAGTTTTAAAAGCATCTAGGAAAAAACTCCCCACGCTATCATGTCCTTCACCGCTGCCCACCCTGGGCCAGCCCACTCCCCCCGTTTACGGGAACCGTTCCGGCAGCAGCTCTTTTGAACGTCATGACGGATTTCCTACGGTTGGGACTTACGTTTCCGTTTCCTCATTGTCTTTGGAGGAAATGAGAAATCACCAAGCGGCCAACATAATTTTAACTCCTTTCAGACACAAAATTGGTGTGAATGTGAGAACTCCCAATATCCTCTAAGGCTATCATAACAAAAAGCCTTACCTTTTCATCTCGGAAATTTAGAAATTGCTGGAAAACCTCACTTTCTGAGATTACTGGATGGCGACACATCCTGGTCATCCAGGCCTGCAGTCTCTCCATGCGCATTTTGATAAATTCTTCTTCAAAGCGACCTGCAAGAGACAGGCCCGGAGTGAGGTGCAACTTCGTCTAAATGGATTACTGCTGCTCCAACTGAAGAGCCGTTTACATCGCTGCTGGCTACTCGGTAGGAAGTCATTTAGTAAAAGGGAAACCAGGGTCAATTTTTCACTAACCTAAAACCAAGCAACAAAGTGAATGCTCAAAGACCTCCAGGAAAGATACAACAGACTTGTTACTTTGAAAGAACGAAATTCCAAGTTAACAAATTAACAAACCTTTTAACTGAGACAATAATCATAGCCTCAAACTGCTATTTTCTTCAAGGATCCCTAAAATACTCAACAAATTTAAAAGCAAATTTACCTCAATATGAAAAATTCTCTTTCTTATAAAGTAACATTACGCCAGTTCCTGTGGCCATATGAAGCCCCATAGGCAAGAAAGGAGTGAAAGAGTGGAATTTAATAAGTAATTCTTATGAAGCACATGAAATTTCTCTATTTATAAAAATGTGCCCAAATGCAATATAATCTCAGATATACAAATTCAAATTTAGTATTTATGAAAAGTAACTTAGGGCTATAGCTTTTTCATCTGCTTTGTTTTTTAAATTACTTGAACTGAAAATAGAAAAAGCAATTTTTCCATGAATGCAATAATGGAAGCTGCTATCCCAGAACTTATGACTATTCTAAAACACAGCTTAATAGGTGATATTCTGTTTTAAAAGTAGAAAATCAGCTTAACGTACCAAACATCAAAGGAGTACTGAGAATTTTTATAAGCCTACTAAACAAAGTCACTATCAGTTAAAAGGCTCCTGGAGATGGAAATTCTGGCTACAGCCCAGGGAGAGAATCAGCTAATTCTATCCCCAAAAAGCAACTACCAAGCTGAACAAAACCCACCAAAGCAGTGCTCTGGAAACCAAGCAAAGGCAAACAGCCATCTAAGAAGTGTTTACGTTTGCAAAACTACTGAACTTCGGGCAAGAAGAGTGGGAGAATGGGGCACTCTGGCCTGGGGCCGCTCCCGTGCTTCCCTGTTGCCCCTGCACGTCCCCACCCTCTACTTGGTGCACATGGAGGCTGTGCCAGGGCGAGGCCAGCTGCGAGGACTGCAGCTGCAGCTTCCCTGGGGAGGCAGGAGGCTCACTCGATCTGGAGCAGGAGACACCCAGGCTTCGGGGTGGTGGCAGTGACAACCCAGAGGCCAAGCTTGCACGGTTGAGCCAAGCATACTCCAGGCTGAGAGTGAGAGGAGAAACAGAGGGGACTAGAAGGGGTCCAGGCCAGCCACATCCTCCTAGCCACCTCTGAGGCTGCAGGCACATGTACAGGAGACACGAAAGGGCCCACGAGAAAGTAAAAGTCAGGGCTAACTTGGAAAGGACCAGAACTGTGAACGCACTCCCTGCCCACACACAGATCCATCAGCAGAGGACAGAGGCCGTCCTGGCTGGAGGGGGGCTTACTGCCAACCTACACAGACACAGGAGCAGGCCTGGGGAGCCAAACTCACCAAGGAAAACATAAAAATAATGGAGCTGCAGGGGAGACAGACTTCAGAGACGTAGCCCAGGCAAGTTACTTACCAAACAAGCAAGCGTAACGCAGAAACAACAATGACCCTCAGAGAAGAAAAACCAGAATCCAGAGGTGCTAAAATATATTCTCTAAAATGTCTCGTTTTCAACAAAAAATTAAGAGATACATAAAGAAACAGTGAGGTATGACCCACACTGAGGGGGGAAAAGAAAAGCAGTCACTAGAAACTGTCTCTAAACGTCCCCCTAGACTGTTTGACTCCAGCAGACAAAAACAAAAGGGCCGACAAAGCAGCTTCCATAAATATGTTCAAAGAACTAAAGGAAGCCGTGTTTAAAAGAGTAAAGAAAAATATGCAAAGAAATCAAGAAACAGGGGTTCTTAAGAAGGAGACAGAAACTATAAAAAAAATCAAATGGAAATTTTGGAGTTGAAAATACAATAACCGAAACTGCAAATTCACTGTAGGGGCTCAATGCAGACTCAAGACAGCAGAAGGAAGAACGAGGGACTCTGAAGATAACTCAACAGAAGTTATCTCATCTGAAGAACACGCAGAAAAGAAACTGAGGTAAAATGAACAGAGCCCCAGACCACATCAAGCACACCAACATACGTGTAATGGGAGACCCCAAAGGACAAGAGAGAAAAAGAAAAATCATTTAAAGCGATAGTGGGGAAAAATTTCCCAGATTTGATGGAAAACTTTAATCTATACTTCCAAGAAGCTCAACAAACTCCAAGTAGGATAAATATAAAGATATCCACACCAAGATACAGCAGAATCAAACTGCTGAAAGACAAACACAAAAAGAAAATCTTGAAAGTAGTAAGTGAAAAACGACAACATTTATGGGGAGTGTGCGCACAGGTGTGTAGCTGTGTGATCGACAGAACAGACTGGTTTGTCATCTGACACCCGGAGGTCAGAACGCAATGGAGGGACATATTCATCACGCTGAAAGGAAAACTATCAGCCACCAATTCTATAACCAATAAGCCTATCCTTCCTAACGGGGAAAAATGAAGACATTCCCAGATAAACAAAGAATTGAGACAATTCACTGATAGCAGACCTGTGTTACAAGAAATATTATAAAGAGTCCTGCAGGTTAAAAGGATATTACCTCAGGCTAAAATGAAATTACCCAAATCCACAAGGAGAAATGAAGAGCACCAGAAATATGTGGGTTAATATGAAAGACACTATAGATGTATTTTTTCTCGTGTCTTCTCTTAACTTTTTCAAAAGATATGAGTGTAGAAAGCAACAATTATCGCACTTTATTGCTGGATTTTTAACATATATAGATGTAATATATGATAATAACAGCATAAAAAGAGAAGGCAACGGAGTTATATTGAAGAAAAGTTTCTATTAACTTTACTAGAATTAATATTAATCTGAAGTGTACTGTGATGTTACAAAGAGATGCATATTATATCCACTAAGGCAACTACTAAGAAAATAACTTGTAAAATTTAGTTTTAAAAATGGGAAGAATTAAAAAGGCACATTAGAAAACATTTAACACAAAAGAAAAGCAGTAAAGGAGGAACAGAGGTATAAACAAGGCACATAGAAAACAAACAGCAAAACAGCAAATGTAAGTCTAACTGGATCAAAAATTATATTAAATATGAATAGTCTAAAAACTTTAATCAAAATGCAGAGATTGTCAGACTTGATAAAAAAGCAAGATCCAACTATGGTGCCAAGAAGAGACATACCTTAGATTCACAGACACTGACAGATGAAAAGTAAAAGGATGGGAGACAATGTACCACGCAAACAGTAACCATAGGAGAACTGCAGTGGCCATATTAAAAACAGACAAAACAGACTTAAACACAGACTTCCTGTGGAAATCTTACTAGAGACAAGGGGGAGCACTTCATAATGATAAAAGGGTCACTACATCAGGAAGATACAATTACAAACTGAATGAACACCTAACAAGAGAGCCTCAAAATATATGAAGCAAAAAGTGACAGAATTGAAAGGAGACATGTCCAACAATAATAGCGAAAGATTCAAATACCTTATTCTCAATAATGAACAGATCTAGAAAGAAAACTGGCAAGGATCTAGAAACCTGAACAACACTATCAATCACCTCAGCTTAACCAACAAGACACACAGACGGCTCTATGCAACTGCTGCAGAGCTGATATGTGGAACACTCTCCAGGACGACCCCACGACAGGCCATAAAAAAGTCTCAATAAATTTAAAAGATTAAAATCATACAGGATATGCTTGTTCTCTGAGCATAACAGAAAAAAACTGGAGATCAAGCAACAACAAAAACGTGGGAAATGCCCACATATTTGGAAATTAAACCTATTTCTAAATAATCCATGGGTCAAAGAACTTACAAGGGAAATTAGAAAATATTTTTAACTGAATGAAAATGAAACATATCAAGATTTATGAGATACAGCTAAATCAGGACTTAGAGGAAATTGTGTAGCATTTAATGCTCATAGCAGAAAAAGAGAAAGGTCTCAAAACAATAATCTAAGTTTCCATGCTACAAAACTAGAAAAGGAGTAAATTGAATCCAAAGCAAACAGATGGAGAGAAACAATAAAAGAGCAGAAAAGAACGAAATAGAAAAGAGAAAATCAAGAAAATAGAGAGGAGACACCAATTATCAAAATCAGGAATGAAGGAGCAGCTATCCCCACAGACCTTAAAAGTATAAAGGAATACCGTGAACAATTCTGAACCCATACCCAACAACTTACTCGAAACAGATCAACTCTAGAAAGACCTGAACAACCAAAGCTCACTGAAGAAGAGAGAGCCTGAGGAGCCTTATACCTACTTAGGAAATTCATACTCAAAGCCTTCCCACAAAGAACACTCTAGGTCCAGATGATTTCACTGGTGAATTCTATCGAACACTTACAGAAGAAATAATATCAGTTCTAATCTCTTCAAGAATACAGAAAAGGAGGGAATACTTCCAAACTTATTTATGAAGCAAGCATTACCCTACGCCAAAACCAGGCAAAGACATTACAAGAAAACTATAGACCAATAACCCTCATGAACACACACATAAAAATCTTCAACCAAATAGTAGCAAACTGAATCCAGTAATACAAAAAAAAACAATACTATGTCAGGACCAAGTGAGGTTTATCTCAGGAACGCAAGGCTGGTTCAGCATATTAAGAAAAACTGTACAATTGCATCAACAGATGCACAAGATACATTCAAGTAGAAAACTTTCAGCAAACTAGGAACAGAAGGGAAGTCCCTTAATTTGATAAAAGGACATCTACAAAAAATCTACAGCTAACATCCTATTTAATGGTGAAAGACAATGTTTTCTCTCTAAGATTGGGAACAAGGCAAAGATGTCTGCTCTCACCATTTCTATTCAATATCATACCGGACGCCTTACCCAGGTCAATATGGCAAAAACAGAAATGGAAGGCAGACAGACTGGGAAGGATGAAATAAAACCATCTCTACTCCAAGATAATGCGATTGTCTACATAAAAAATTCCCAAAGAATTCACAAAAAGCCTCCTGGAACTCGTGAAGTTAGCAACATTGCAGATATGAGGTCAATACACAAAAATTGGTTGTTTATCTCTAGATGCAACAAATAACTGGAAAACAGAAATTAGAAAACAAATGGTACCATTTATAACAGAACTCCTCAAATAAAATTCTTACATGTAAATCTAACAAAATATGTGCAGAATCTGAATGCTGAAAACTACAAAATACTAATGAAAATCAAATGTGACATATTTACGCTCTTGGATTAGAAGACTACATATTAAGATTTCAATTCTCTCAAAATTGATCTATGCAATCAATGCAATGCCAATCAAAATCCCAGCATGATTATTTACAGTTATCTACAAACTCACTCTGAAATTTACAGGGAAAGGCAAAAGAAAAAGAATAGCCAAAAACAATTTTGAAATAGAACCAAGTTGGGAGAGTCACATTACCTGATTTAAAGACTTACTTTGAAGGTACACAGATCAAGAAAGTGTGGTACTGGCAAAAGGATGGACACATAAATCAACGGAACAGGACCTCAGGCCAGAAATAAACCCACACAAATCTGGTCAATTGGATTTTTTACAAAGGTGCAAAGGCAATTCAACAGAAAAAGGATACTCTCTTTCCAACAGATAGTGCTGGAACCAGTGGATACCACCTTACCCTACCTCACATCTTATACAAACATTAACTCAAAAGGCATGGTCGACCTAAATGGAAAACCTAAAACTACAAAATTTGTAGAGGAAAATATCAATGTGAACTTGGGTCAGGTAAAGAGGTCTTGGTCACAATGCCTAAAGCACAATCCATAAACGAAACAACTGACACAATGGGCTTTATTAAAATTAAAAGCTTTTGTTATGCAAAAGACACTGTTAAGAGAAAGACAAGCTATGCCTGGGAGAAATTATTTGCAAAAGGACTTGTTTCCAGAATATATAAAGAATTCTCAAAATTCAACAATAAGAAAACAATCTAATAAAAAATGGGCAAAAGATTTAAACAGACATTTCACCAAAGGAAAGACATTGATGGGAAATAAGTACATGAAAAGTGCTCAACACCATTAGTCATCAGGCAAATGCAAATTAAAACCATGATGAGATACCACCACATATCCTAAACTACACTTGTTAAAATCAAGAAAAACTGACACTACCAAAAGTGCCCTGACACTCTCATCCATCGCTGGTGGGGATTCCAAAATGGTACAGTCACTTTGGGTAAGAGTTTGGCAATTTCATAAACATTAAACACACACCTACCATATGACCCAGTCATTCTGCTCCTGGGTATTTATTTGCCCAAGAGAAACGAAAACTTATATTCATATAAAAACTTGTATGTGACTGTTTATAGCAGATTTATAATTGCCAAAACCTAGGAACCCAAATGTCCTTCAGTGAGTGAACGGAGAAACAAACTATGATACAGCCATACATTGAAATACTTCTCAGCAGTGAAAAGAAGACACAAACTACTGATAACACACAAGATGGATGAATTTCAAGTGCATTGTGCTAAGTAAAAGAAGCCAGACTCAAAAGACTACACACTAGATGCTTCCATTTATGATATTCTAGAAAAGGCAAAATTATAGAGACAAGGATCAGACCTGTGTCGCCACGAGTCAGGACCAGGGGGAGGGGTTGAATATAAAGGGGAAGCAATGGAATTTTGGAAGGTGATGGAACTTTCCGTAGCCTGAATACAGTGGTGGTTACAAGACTGGAGTGGTAGTTGTCAAAACTCTTAGAACTGTACACCAAAAAGGAGTTAATTTACTGTATGTAAGTTTAAAAATAAATTTAAAAAAATGCAGCCTGGACTTTCCTTTAGAAATTATGAGTACAAATAAGCACAAGTCTTTTAATGAGAAGAGTCTTATCGACCCACATATCAAAAACCCATGAACAGCAGGATGGTCTGGACACCTCCTGTATAGTAAAACACTTCAAATTTTGCACTTACTGGGAGTAGAGATTAAGTAGTACATAAACTTAAGCTATGCAGACCCACCTCCCGGACAGAAGAGACCCAGAAACTCACTGTGGACCAGGATTACACTGAATTTCCCATAGGAGAAAGTGAATTACACCAAGAGTTCATAATCTATTCACTGGTTGAAATTAATTAACTAATGATTCTTCTTCTTCTTCTTATTTTCTGACATCGCCGGTTTATTTCCAAACTATGACTTCGGAAGTTATTTTGTGCTTGGTAAGATTTTCATACCAGGTTCCAGAGAATCAGGGAAAAGGCAGGGAGGAAGGATTGCCATTTCCTCATTTTCAATGAACCTTACTTATTAGCTTTCCACTAAGAATGTGAATGTACCAGTTTGGCGTCCAGGAATCAAACCAGATTCATTCAGTATTATTTCACAAAGAACAAAATCCTTGCACAAATGAAAAACGTTATCTCTAAGTGTTTCACGGAGCCATTATCGAGTCCACAGAAGTGTCATGACATCATCCACTTGGCAGTCCGGTTTCTTTTCTCCAGGGTTTCCGTGAGAGGGGAGTGTACAGAATCACATCTGGTTGGTACCACGGGCAGGAGGCAAATCAGGGAGAAAGAAAGCGGCTTCTGTGCTTTTCCGTTTCCTCGGCACACATCCCAGCCAGTGAATCAAAGCCCAACTCTCTTCTGACTGGGGGCTGCTGCTTTCTCGCTTTTCTGTGACATCCCCCGGCTTCAGGCCTGAACTGCTTTTTTTAAAGACAAACCTTAGTATGGGAGGATAACCGTGACTCTGATGCTTTAAAATGGCACCAAGTTATCTGACTCAGAATAGATGTGTTAAAGCCTGAAAGATATGAGAAATCTCCACAACCCTAAAACAGCTCATTGATCCATTTCCTTAAACACTACAGAGTGCATATTGGGCTAATCACGTTGATAAAGGAGAGGATAAAATTCAGGAAACGGACTGAAATTTGAAAATACGGAGAAGGGCAGAACTGAAGTTTCCATGCAAAGAATGCTAAAATTTTTCAAAAGAGAGCTGTGATTTAACGCAATAGAATGGCAAAAATGAGGGATAGTGAGTATCTGAACTGGGCAGGGGACTGGGGGTATGGTGACACCTCTGTGTGGAAGAAGTGGCAGCTGATGCTGACCTAGTCGCCCTGATACGGCTTCCCCTCACCTGCCTGGCTCCACGAGGGACTGCTCAGGACCCCCATATGAGGCCGGGATGGGTTCATCCACCGGGCCATGCCACCCCACCCTCCACTCTCCTAGGACAATTTGAAATTTCTGAAAAGTTTTCAAAAAATCCAAATCAAAACAACTTCCTTAAAAATAAAACTTTCCATCTCCTCAAAAAGTTTTAAGGAAACAAACATGAAACAAAGTAAAGTACAAAGTGAAGTTTTAAGGAGAATAAGTTTCTTCCCCTAAGGTTACTAATTCTAGCTGAAGACAAGCTGGTCCACATCTCATAAGGTCAACAGAGCCGGCTTCCGAAGCAGATTCAAATTCTGTTCTTAGCGCTAGCGAGCAGCGCCCGTTTAAGGTCTCTGCTCTGAAGTGACAAAGCACATGGGAAGCGTCCAGACACACGGCACACCTGGCACGTCAGGACAAACGGAGCCTGAGAACATCTGGAGCTGCCTCTGCCATCTGGCTGGCTAAGATTCTCAGTCCCTCCCTCAACTACTGATCTGGCCTCTTGCTGAGTCAAGACTCGCCCCTCTCTGGTGTTCCCCGCCCTCTGGGGAAAGAGCCCCTCCTTCCCAGATCCCAAGTTTCTCCTTTCTGGGCTCAGCCTTTCACTTCTCTTGGAGGCCTCTCAATAAAGCTCTGATCTTCTAAGCCTTACTCTCATCTTCGACCCCGTCCTTTCTATACTTACTAGTTTCATTTATCTCAAAATTTTCGAGCTACACACTAAACCCCTTTCTATTCTTTAGTAAAGTTTAGCTTCTTTACAAACTTTTATTCCGAGACAATCAGAGTCTGAGCACACAAACTCCAAGTTCTATACTACACTGGAGAAGAAGGAACTCAATGACCGTTCTCAAAACGGACACAGAAATAAATACTCTCTATCTGCATATTTACAAGGGGCTGTGGCAGCACTGTGGATTCGTTACCAGAAGATTACTTGGGGTGGGGTTGGGGGGGGACACGACACTTTAAACAAATAAGAAAGGGAGAGTGTAATAATCAATGATAAATAACAACACTCGAATATCAATAATCACTCACATGATTGAGCAGAGAGCCTGGCAGCTGCCTGCATTAACACCTGGAAGCTTTGCCACTTCTACAGCTGACGTTTACACACTTGTAATGAAAACGACACAGCTGCACTGTATAACGTGTTTGCATCATTTGGGTCACACATTGCTATTGCCATTTTAGGCTATTTGGATCATTTCTATTTTCTCCAGTGTCATTTTTCACATTTTAAAAATTCACATATTTCTTCTATAGAAAGAGTATAGCAATAAAGACACAACAATTTTGCTGGAATCTAAGATATGTGCACAAGAACTCTGAGAGAAAATTTTACGTGACATTCTCGTTAGGTGTTTAGGTAACTTCCAAATACATGTACAATAGATACCGCTACATTTAGCCACTGTTTCCAAACGTATACATCCTGCTCCTCTGGAGGATGGACAATGCTGTCACCAGTTTATACGATGATGCTCTAATGGAGTCCTGTCACTTGTCATCCTGGTTCTGGGTCACACACACTCACCTGTGACTTGCTTATCTGGAAGAGAAGGGATTGGAATGGCTGACCCAAACTTGACCAGGAGACGCTCATATAGCCAGTCAAAGTGCTTATACCTGTGGTTTACAGATCGGTTAGTGTTCTACAAAATAAGAGAAAGAGGAAAAAGTTACCAAGGCCAGCTACAGAAAATGAAGAAAAAAGCAAACTGTAACTAGTGAGGTGACCACGACTGTGTCTGCTAACCGGGATACTCACAGTAGGCGTTAATTGGTACTCGATGTAGCTCTTCAGACCATACATTTTGGAGCCCTTCCTGGGATCTGCTACCACGCAGTCGAACGTGGAGGTGGGATAAACCCACATTGGGCCGTAATCTCCGACCTACACAGTGTTCCAGGAAGAGATAACGTTGTTACGTGGAAAGACAGTGATACAACTGACATGTCATCAAATGATTCTTTTTAGGACTCGAAGTCCTTTCGAGGGTCATTCTTGCCCCTCTTTGAGAAGTTGCATAAATGCTCTGTTCCCCTGGGGGTCATACTTAAAGAACTCGCTTGCTGACACGAACCCTTCTGCTCCCCACGTGGGCTGTCTCAGGCCACGGGGCCCAGATGCCTGCTGGCCTCCCCTCTGGGGAGGGCTGGATGGAACACAGTTTTCTCTCTCTAGTTCAGCTGTCTTAGTTATAGGTGACGAAGGGCTCCTTTTAAAATTTCCAATCTATCACAGACTGACAGTTTTGTGAAATATAAAATTATACACTTGGATGTCTCAACAACGTCCAACTGCCATCACACTTCCTCAACACTTCCTCTCATTTTCTGCGCACCCAGTCCTAATTGTTTTTAAAGGTAACAGGAGGAAAAAGTGGGGTGGGGTACGAAAGTTCAGAGGTTATCAGGTCAGGAAGGTGACTGGAGCCTGGAAATTTTAATAAGGGATGAAAAAGAAGACCTGTGACAGCAAGCTACTATGACTGCCCAAGAGGGAGCCCAGATCTGGAAAACCCTCTTAAAGCTACAGAGCAGGAATGTTTAAGACGAGCCCTGGGACCAAGAGAGGCACCACTGACCCGCGAGGACCCAGCAGGCACAGGGTCACACTTTATTAGTGGGGAGGGTTACTGTGCCTGAAAAGCGGAGAACCAGGTCTCTGCTTTCTCTCGGTTTTCAGAAGACTCGACGGCTTTCCTCAGCTTCCTTCTCCACAGAAGAGGTCTGCACAGGCAGGACTGACCACAGGGGACGTGGGCCCAGTTCTGCCTAAAGCTGTGGGGCAACTCAAACACGGGGGCCTTTAGCTCTGTCCCAACACTATCAGGCTTGTGACAAGGTCCCCTTGAACATCTGAGGGCAGCGCCACAGGCTCTTAATTCTGTGAGGCTTTAAATTTAATGAAAAGAACAATGATGCACGTCCAGCATTTAACAAAAAGTCTGAAGAAAAAAGTTTAAAATAATCTTAAATCTAACCACTCAGAAGATTACCCCAAATTTGCTTTGAGGGAAGGAGGATAAAAGGGGATCTTGGTCACAGCCCTTCTCTCTGGAGGGTTCTAGGATTTCAAGCCTTTCAAAGATAAAGGAACAAGTAATAAAAAAAAAATCCAGTATTATTCTCGCAATTTTATCAAGTTTCCCAGGACCCAGAGACTATAGAATAAGACCAGATGTTTCCTCATCCTTGTTTGAGTCCACGGTGATTACACTCAAAGCTTCCCTCTCATCTTAGAGTGAGAGGGCTAAGTCAATAGGGTCAGAAGATAGCCACGGTTCTCTTCTCCAGAATTTCTTCTGGGAATATAGAGCTAGATAATGCTTAGGCAGAAAAAAATCTATTAGCAATCAGCATCTGGGTGACACCAAAGAGCCTGCTTCACGTATGTAATGATCAAGTTATTCTAAGACAGATAATGTTGACGGTGTCGTCAACGCTCAGCTTTTATTTGCCATGTTCTTATCATGAGCTGACAGCTGGTTTACTGGAAGGAAGACTATTGCCAACCAGTGGAAAAGGCACCTTCTGACAACATGCATGTACTTTGCTGGTGTAGAGACCTAAATACCTGAACTGGGTTTATCAGCTAAATATATAGGGCTGGTAGAAAAACAGGATATAAAAGATACTTGAAGACACTTCAGAGAAGGAAAGTTATTAAAAGAATATATGCTATGAGTGCTGTTGGTTCAATACTAATAGTTTGAAAAGTAAAAATAAAGAATATCTACACAATATAATGACAAGCATTAATTCATGCTAATCACCTTTACTACTCTTGACATGCTAAAACATACTGTCAGTTACTTGGAGCACTAAATGTGTTTAAAAACGCTTTCCAAAGACTAATACACTCTCCTGGCTTTAAGCTATTATAAAGGAGTTTAATGAGACACAAAGCAAAGAATAAAAATGGACAAACTTACAATGATAGGAATTTTCTCTTTGGGTTTTGCTAGTTGCTTGGCCAACAAATACTGTTCCATTCCAGGTTTTGCGAATCCAGGAAACCTAATCATGAAGACAACGCTTGTGAGTCTTACGTCTTTCCTTCTAAGAATTCTACAGCTCTCGTCCAAGTTTACTCAACGCTAGTTTTCACCTTGTTCTGTCTTTCAGATGGACTAGAACTAGGAAGCTGCGGTAAATGAGACCTGACACAATCAGATTGTTCAATGGCCCATTAGACATTTAATTAAGCTTCATCTGCTAATTGAACAGTGTGACTCCAGAAGGTGTGATATTTATGGGTGCTCTATTTGCTTAACTTGATCTGAAACACTCTGTCACCCCATGAAGAGTGAAGGGCAGACCAGAAAATGTCCCCCACCCCCGCCCTAGTCACAGGAGGGGAAGTACTCAGCACAGCAATGTGAAGTGACCACACAGGGCAGCAGCCACACGCCAGCATTTGCATATCCAAATTAAAGCCGCCCTTCAGCACACTCCATTCAGAAGGCCACAACTAAACCAAAGAAGCTGACACTGTTCATTGCTGATTGTACCCTTTTGGAATTGCCTTCAGAACCAGTTTCTGAGACACAAAAGAAAACCAGTCTCCTTACTAAAAAGACTCAAATTATAACAAATAAGCTTGGCTACCTCCAGAAATCAAATCTATAAAGTTCTAAATTTGGAGAAAGGCAAAAATAAATGCATAGCCGTCCAAAGTGCTACTTTTTTTTGTCGTTTTTTGGTGAGGACGACTGGCCCTGAGCTAACATCTGTTGCCTATCTTCTTCTTTTTGCTTGAAGAAGACTGTTGCTGAGCTAACATCTGTGGCAATCTTCAACTATTTTTTCTATGTGGGATGCGGCCACAGCATGGCTTGATGAGTGGTGCCTAGGTCAACGCCTGGGATCTGAACCTGTGAACCCCAGGCTGCTGAAGCAGAGCGTGTGAACTTAACCACTATGCTACCAGGCTGCCCCCACAAAGTGCTACTTTTAAAGAAGAAAAAATTAATTTGGGTTTTAGAATTTTTTTTTTAATAACCAGAAAGGAAAAAACCTTCAGAAAGCAAAATACCTAATATAGCAAAAGAAATCTTATTTCTACAAAAAACCAGCTCCATTACTTCGAAGTTCATTCATATACCAAGTTCAAGGCCAACAAGATGCTCTCAGGGGCCCAGATCTTTTCTTCCACTCTCTACTGACTTTCCTCCATTCCCTTTTCCCCAGGCATGCTTAAAACACAGCTCATCCAAGAAAGAACAAAGAGGAGTCTAGGAGCGGGATGGCCCTGGGTTTCAATTCCAACTCCAACACAACAGCTATGTGACCTTCAGAGCTTCAGTGTCCTTGTGCAAAGAATGGGACCAATACGATCTACTTGTTAAGGTGATAAGGGAATTAAATGAAAAGATCTATGTAAAGAGCCTAGTATGTACTCCTAAATTAGAATTATTTCTAATTACGCCATCATCTCTTTGAAATACTCCCTACCACTCAGGCAGAACCTTCTCTGTGCTTCCTCCACACTCAGAGCATATTTTTGCTGTACGATTTATCATGCGTAATCGCCATTATCCATTTACACACTGCAGCAGACTAGAACTACCTTAGAGAAAGCGTTCACACTTCCAGGACCTAAAGTAGTTATGGGAATATACTAAATGCTTAATGAATTAATTGGCTCACCTGGGCCACTTTTATTAAAGAACCTATAATTTTGGTAGAAAATGCTGATGGAAGAATCTGGGAATTACACTCAGTGACAACTCCTTGAATAGACCGTAAGCTTCTGAGTGCAGAAATCACATTTCACACGTATCTTGGCATTCTTATGGACCACAGTAAAACTCTAGCGCCAGCCGTGCACTCAGTTAATACCCACTGAATGGCAATGAAATTTTCTGAATATTATCAAGGTGGATTCCTACACCGCTCAAATTTCTCATCTCCTTTTCTAGTATAAGGTTTATGTCCCATGACTGGACTACAGCAGTCATATAAAATGGATTAGCTGCTGAAAAGTGTTAATACTTTAAAAAAAGTTTTACAACTGTTATAAATGAGTCATTTACACATTAGTCTAGTTAAATAAAAATACATAGGATTTTAAACAGCTCCCAGCACCAGGGAGAGAGAAGCGCCTCAGAGGTTCAGGGACAAATCAGGAGCCCTCTGATTTGCTTTCATCCTGGACTGAAAGTTTAGAGCAGGAAGAGTTCGTAACAGAAGTCAACTCCTCCACTTTAGAGATGAGGAAACTGAGGTTCAAAGGGGCCACCAACTTCCCCAAGATCATACAGCAACTGAGAGAGCAGGGGGAGCCAGGAGAGCAGTCAGAGGCCTGGGCTCGAGCCAGAACCGCACTTACTAGCCATGAAAACTCGACCCGTCACTTCTCTCAGAGTCTCTGCTTCCTCGTTTTCAAAATGGGGCTGAGAGAATCATTATAATAAAGTGGGTTTTAAATTTCCTCCGTATTTAGCTTTAAAGCACTAAGAGTCACGCACATCACCATACACTGAGAACTTCAAATCTGACCTAAGAAATAGGCCACAGTCAACAACGAACGACTAACTCTATTACGTGTGCAACTGAACATGAAAATACAAACGGAAGAAACCGAAGAGAAGGGTAGGAAAAGTGTGTAGCTAAAAGATAACTCATTTAATCACCTGATGCTATTCAGATACACCGACTTGCAGGGCTCATTAAACTCACGTATATGCAGATCTGGATCTGGATCTTGATATCCAGATCTCTACCAAACACTGTTTACAATTTTACCAGACACGGATTAACATTCTTTGATATCTGCTTTGAATCATGGACTTGGAACACTGAGAAAAAGTGTTACTCATTTTAGAAAAACGATTTTAAACCTGATTGCTGTAAGAAGAGTATCTGAAGATTCTTACGAAGTCATAAATTCTATCTCCTTCAAGGACACTGAGGGGGCCTGCAGACTGAGCCAGAACTCTCTGCAGGATCTGTCACGGCTCTGTCCACACTCGCCCCTTCGCCCACACCTTCCCGGTAAGCAGCCTAGCTACAGGTACTGTTCAAACATTTTTTTTAATCTGAGAGAAATCTACGTGAAAACCAAGTCTTAAACATGTTAGGGAGAGTGGCTGAGAGCAGGCATGTGCTCAGGACACTGAGGGACTGGACTGGAATCCACACTAGTCACTTTCCACCCGGGTGCGCTTGGGCAGTTACTTAGCCCCTGGGCTTAGTTTCCGCCATAGTGAAACAGAGATTATATGCACCACAAAGGGCCATGAGGGACACATGAGAATGCACAGAAACTGCTGTGCACAACGTGTGGCACGTGGTAAGTGATCAACGTGGATGACGATAACAAAATGGAGTAACATATGTCAAGGCTTCTAAAATGGAGCTGGGAGGCCATTAAGGAAGTGAGGCTTATGCACGCACACCACATCCACCGTGGCCAGATGTTAACTGAACTTTTGACCTTTACCTGCTGCCAGACATCACGTCTTGAAGCACTTCCTCATTCCAAGAACGGCCAACTTGCCTAGATACGACCCAAGGACCAACTGCGTGCTGCTGAGTCAGCTCACCCCATGCCAGAACCAACCATGAGCTGTTCAGTGTCAACCTCTGTAGGCCTGTGTCCCCTGCCTTCACAAACCCTGCCTCTAGCATCTTCCTCAGAGCGCATCTGAGTTTCTACTCATATCTGTCTCCCGAATTGCAATTCTTGAGACCTCAAGTAAACTTTTTGCCCCTTCTGCAGTTTACGCCTCTTATTCATTGACACGAATAAATAGCAAAACATTTTTAAAAGAGTTATTATTAATATTGTTATTTTTAGCTTTCCTGCAACATCAGCAATAAAATCTTAATACATTATTGATTTGATAAAGGTAAAAACAGTATTCGGCAGATCATTAAATAGAACAGATATTTCACTTTAAAATGAAAAAAAAAAATTTTTTAATAAGCTTCCAAGCTAAGATGCAAATAAAAATGACCAAATTCACACCCAAAACTTTACAGATCACTGGAAGGAGAGAAAGTCTCTTTGGCTCTCTTCTGTTTCCACACAGACTCCATGTTCCCCGATTCCGTTAAACCTACTTGTTAAGTGGCAGCTTCATAGAAGAGGCGCCAGGACGGCTGCCCCCCCGCTGAGCGCCCCCTGCTTCGGCCGACTCCGAATCCTTGAAGTAGGGAGACGACGACTTGGGGTCGTCCCAGTCTTCATCCCAGTCGTCGTCATCACCAGCTGCTGGAGGTGGCATAGAAGATTGTCAATAAAGGAAAACAAAATAAAAGTGGAACGACAATTTTCTGATATTAACTACCAACTAGGCCAAACAATCAAAAAAGAAAAAGAGAAAAGGACGACTTTATTTTCTACTAACTGCCAATTGGGCTAACCAATTAAAAAAAAGAAGAAACAGGTGCGGTACAGGAGTACTGCAGATGTGAAGGGTACAGCCTCTGCAGCTACCTAGTTTTAAGGCTTGAACTGTAGAGTCTGCCCTTTAGTGCCAAAGACAAGTTAGAAACAACTTAAGAGGGCTGTCAGCCCCAGGAACTGTAGATAAATGCAGACTGTGAAAACGCCGCGTGGTACACAAGGGAAGGCCCTCCAGAGGCCTATTCACTGCTGAACCCAGCTTTAGAAACTCGCCAATAAACAGGTAAAGCGCCCTTTACACCGAGAAGATTGAGGAGGACAAATGGGATGATAGAGCTCTGAAAAGGAATTGTTTAACACTAATAATACTAAAGGTGGGAGAAGGGCAGTGAGGGGAAAGACGGTAAGGAACCGGATGAGGGTGGAGAAGGGAGAGAGAGAAGAGAGAGACAAGGAGTAATTAACCAGCATCTGTAGCCTAATATTCGAACAATAATCCCCGGGTCAGATAAGATGCTGCCAGTGTCCTCCCTTCCTTCCTCTTCCCACTGTCTGTGCCCCTGTCTCCTGCCTCTCAGGGCCTGAGGTGTCCTTTCACTATCAGGCAGGAAACAGTCCATAGTCCTGGGACCTCCGCCCTAAGAGTGCCACCACGAGAGGCTGAGACAAATGCCAAAACAAAAAAGAAAAGAATGGAAAGTATCAGAAGGATCTAGGCTCAGTCTCCCGGGGTCATGCCAAGTTACTACAGAACTAGAGGTCAGCAGTCTGGTCCCAACATTTCTGCCCAGCCCATGACTCCTGGTCCTGTGACAGGCCAGCTCCTGTCTAGAGCAGGAACTTGGAACCCATACCCGTGCCCATTATGGTGCTCATACAGGGAACACACAAAAAAATAATGTGCAGATCTCTTTTCATTTAATTTCAGAACAGACATAAATACCCTTTCTTAATTCCTGAATTGTTTCCCCTTCAATCAACTCCTCTTCTGCCTCAGTACTTCCACTCATAGCCTGGCAGTCAAACAGGCAGATCAGGAGGGTCAGAGGTCATAAACTGGCAGGTGATAAACCATATTCGATCTGTATACACATTGTTTTGGCCCGAGATTTAAAAATAAATGTGCATTAGTTGCCAAGATTTTTAAAGTGGGAAGATGACATAAAAATCGAGCTTTCCAGGCTCTCTCTGGAGCTGTGGAGGCAGGAACACGGGCTCAGTTCTCCTGCAATGGTCTCAATCCGCTGGCCAGAGCAGGGCTGCCTTCTTCTGTCTTCCGCAGCCTCAGGGCCGCTTTGTTCTTTCACTTTATGAACCTGGCCCCTGCCGAGTGTTTGTGTTTGTGACTCCTTGACACATAACTGAGACTGGACTAGAGATCATAATTAACGACCACCTATATTTGGATCCAGAAAAACAGGTTCGCTGTTAATGAATGAGAGCACCTGAGAACAGCCTCTTTGATTAAAATCTATTTTTAACTCGGATGCCCTCCTGGCTTTAAGCGTGGGCTCCTCTTCCTCACCTGGTCCTTGGTAGGCCTGGGGATGACCAAAGGCACTGTCCCAGTTATTGGAAGTGCTTTTCTGGGCTGCAGCCCCCTCTGGCTTGGCTCCCCAGCCATCCGTGCTGTTCCAGTTTCCAGATTTGGAAGCATTCCAGGCTGACCAGGGGTCATTGCCACTGCTGACCTGTTGTGAGGGGTAAAAAAAGTAAAAAGAGTATTTGTGACTTCTAGAAAGCACTACTCAATTCAGGAGGAATCACCTAACAGTTGAATACAACGAGGGTGCTGAAAAAAACTGATAGAAATTTAAAACAATCTTAAATTTAAATAACAAATTTTTTAAACATGTAGGAAAGCATAAAAAGCATTTGTTTTTAAACATACAAGAGAGCCCAAATTAGACTTTCTGCTCTGCACTTTTGGCTTTTTCCCCACTTAATAGCCTGAAACACTGTCCAAGGTGCAACAGCACACGGGGATGGCATCGTTCTCCACACGGCTCCAGAGCTCCACCACACTGACTTGTGACACTTCAACCGGCACTCGCTTATGCTCATTCATCTCGCTTCCAGTATCTCGCTCCTGGAAATACCGCTGTGGTGCACAGCCCTGCACACCACTGACAGGCCAGAGGGGTTCTGTCTTGCACAAAAGGGGACTGCCACACTCCAAAATTATTTTTAAAATATTTTTCTCTCATTATTCCTTTGAGTAATTTCATAGTTTAACTACTAACATTATAAATAAAATTTTGGAATGGGCAATCAGAGCACCCAATTTCAAGGAGCAGTGCAGTAAGAGGACCTGTAGCCACTTCCCATCACTGCCCCCCACCCGAGGCAACCACAGTTTCTCATTTCCTTGATTTTTAAAATTTTAAATCTTTAATTTGTCTCAAATTTACATCAGTATAAGAAAAAAAATAGGAATCCAGCTTCATTTCTTGCTGTGGTCAGTCTGTTCCCCAACACCAATTCCCCCACTGATTTGAAATGTCACTTATTTTTTTTTTTAAAGGTTGGCACCTGAGCTAACAAGTGTTGCCAATCTTTTTTTTTTTTTTTTTGCTTTTTCTCCCCAAATCCTCCCTGTACATAGTTGCATATTCTAGTTGCAGGTCCTTCTAGTTGTGGCATGTGGGACGCTGCCCCAGTATGGCCTGATGAGTGGTGCCATGTCCGTACCCGGGATCCGAACCAGTGAAACCCTGGGCCGCCGCAGCAGAGCATGCGAACTTAACCACTCGGCCATGGGGCTGGGCCCTGAAACGTCACTTGGATCACATCCTGGACTTGGCTTATTTCTGGACCCTCTGTCGTATCCTAGCCATCTATCTGTACTAGTACCAAGCTACGCTGGAGCCCACGAGACAGAAGACCATCAGTACTTTAGCATGCCATCTTTCATCTGCTTATTTTCACTCACGAACTGTAGCATGAGCTTAACATTTTAAAACTAAAACAATCTGAGCTTTAGCATTAGAATGCTAAGTTTAAAAAAAGTGCTGATTTTCATTTGAGTCACCTTAAATTCACATATAAATTCAGGGAAAATAAACGGTGCCTTTTTAAAAGAAAATAATTTCAATATTGAATCTGTTTATCCAAGAACACGGAATAGCAAATTTTCCTCTACACTTGAGTCTTCTTCCTTACATTAAAAAAATAAAATTGGTATTTATTTAAAAGAAAAAAAAGCGAGAGAGATTTGCAAGAAAATTACCCAAACTGTCTAATATACCTCTTCACTGTTTTAGAATGCTATAGTGGTTGGTCTTTTTAACTCTTAACTGACAGATGGGGTGGACAACTGCCCTCCAGCCACACACCAGAAGCATCAAAGAACAGAGTATATGTTCTACACGTGGAAGCATGTCTTCATTCTAGCATCTCTTATACCTTCAAGAAAAAAATGAAGTTACTAGTGATTTTGCTCTAAGTATTAACATCAGAAAGACGTGTCACCCACATGACTGAATTTCTCAAACACATGGCTTACAAAGTGAGACTGTCCAGCCACTCTTGTGGATACCAGAAATGAAGGCGGTCACACCGAGGGCCTGACAACCACACCCCATGCAAGAAAATCGCTTCCTTCCACAGCTTTCTTTAAGGGAGGGAGTCTTATTCAGCAACATATACTCTGCGCCCTCCAAACTCTAAACGACGAGGTTTTGTTTTAAGAATAAAAACTTCAAAAAGCACAAAAATTTTGGCTAGTAAGATGATAAGAACAGACATCCATTTGTCTAGCGTGATTTCCGGAAGTGCTGACTGAGCAGGACCTGCAGCGAAGGGCTGGGCCTGGCCTCCAGGAAGCAGTTAGTGGAAGGCGCCAAGGAGGGCAGGCTGCCTGCTTGCACTCCTGGCTCCACCTTGTTCTAGCTGGGTAACCCCAGGCGGGAATTCCAACCCAGGCAGCCTGACTCAATTCAGAAAGACTAACAGAAGCTAAATGAAGTCGACTGAGAAAGAACTAGAACAGAAGAGTGAAAGTTCAGCACTGCTATAACAGCAAGACTCTAAGTGTCAGCAAGCTGTCAAAGAAAGATGAAAATTTAGTACTGAGGACAAACCTGCATGTGAACTATTCATAGCAAGTATCCTAAAAAAGTTAAAACCTATTAGGAGAGAAGCACGTAACAGGGAAGTTCTTTTAAAAACTACTTTGTTTCTAAATTGCTTGTAGTAACAGCTGTATTATTTGGTTATGTATATGATCTTAGCTCTCTACCTAGGCTATATAATCCTGGTAGGTAAATCCAGTAATTGTTTGCTTCTCTCTCTGGGTCTTTTTTTTCCCTGGAACATTCCATCTTGTTTCAACCTGACTCCTGCTGATAAATCTTTCAAAACCTGACCAACTGGAAATTTCCTCTCCAGCTTCTATCACTGACTTTTTACTCTCTCTCTCTCTCTCAGATGACCTTTTCCTGACCTCCGACATCAATGACTAATAATCAGCTCGCACAATCTGCCACATTCTGTCTGTCTGAACCCACTCTTCCCACACTTTGGCCTCCGACTTCTTTGCTTTCACCCCCAATAACCCTTCTGTTCCTCAACTGCACAGTGTGCTCACACAGTAATCCATTCTGGTCCTCCGCTAAGGTTTCAAGCTCTGAGGGGCCTCTTTGATACTTTTCCAGTTTTCCCTCGTTTCTCCTTTCTACTGAGCAATGTCTTCATCTTCTTTTCCCTACCATCGTGGTATAGAACCCCTCCTGCCTTTACCAAGCACGCGTAATTAAAAACCCCTCATTAGATCCCGCTGCCCACGGAATAAACTCCTAGCTTCTTAGTCCATCGGTCCAGATCCTAACTTCGCCTTCCATGACATCCCATTCTCATGACTCGCTTGAACCTCACTCTGTGCTTCAACCCTCAGCTTCCCAGACTTTCCTACAACCTTGCCTTTGCTCACACTGTGCTCTCTAGCGCACGCAAAGCCTTCCTCCTAATCTTCCTAAATTCTGTCACAGCCCTTCCCGCTCAGGGCTCTGGCCTCAGGGCCTGCTTGCTGCCGTTCAGTCAGGCCTCCCACACTCTCCCAAGGTCTGTCTTCTGTTAGAGGTATTTGCATATCAGCTGGTCACTCCCATTAGGAAGTCCAGAGCACAAGGCCTGCCTTATTTAAAAAACATTTCCCCCAAAAAGATTCTCAAAATGCCTTACATAAAGTGGTAAGGACTCAAACATTTTTTTTTACTTTAGTGTTTAAATATGATGTTCTTGGGTATTTGTGTGAAATACATATTATTCTTTATCAGACATCTAAACTTTATAAGATTATCATTAGTTCACGAAGAGGGAAATTAGGTTTTCCTTATGTATACTGACTTGAGTCTTTTTTGGGAAAATAACCTGCTGTGGCCAATCAGAGAACAAGCAATTTTTAGCACATGACACCACCATACTCTTAGAGCAACAACGCCTTCTAAGTTACATAAAAACTGTATCAGGCCACTGTAAAGAAGCCGGAAGACACAGACAGACAGACGGACAGACGTGTGATAAAGCAAGAACAGTAAGATGTTAGTGGTCAAATCCAGAAGGGGGGCGTACGATTATTCACTATGAAATTTGTTTAACTTTTCTATGCTTGAAGTTTTAACAAATAGTGAAAAAAATCCAACAAACACAAATTGTATATACAATCATTCTGGGTTCTGAACTCCATTAGGATGCCTGCAGGGGACACAGAGAAGGACTGTGTCCATCAGGTCACCAGTGATTTCCGCCTGCCTGTGAACAGGGGCCTGGCACACAGTAATGGCTTAGTAAATTCAGGATGTGCTAAATGAGTATGCCCCCAAAGGATGGTTATCTGTATCTCTGTTACAAACACGTTTTAATCCACCTTGCACTAGAACTGGCTGATTATATCCAACACTCTCCCTACCCCCACTCCTACTGAATTAAATGTTCCTTAAGGCCAGGAGCAATAATACGAAATACATTTGCTGATTTAGCACTCTGAATTTACAAGCTATCCTATCCTCATAAGACAAACAGAGAAATACACTTACCTTAGCTTTATATCATAAGACTTATTTAAATACATCAACTGAAAAGATTTATAGCCTAAGGTAAGTTTCTTTGGAAAGCAGACTGGCTTGTGCCTGACTGCAGAGCCAGAAAAACCGCAGTGGGGTCAGGATGGCCATGAGGGTGGGTAGTGCTGGGCACTCCTGAGATGGTAACTGTAGGAAAGCTGTGCATTTTACAAACATATAATACGGGGTATAAACACATAAAAGGAACAAGGGTAGGCACACTGGTCCACTGGGTAAATTTCACATCCCTTTCTGAACCAGCAGGAATTTGCCTCAAGCGCATCTTACGGGGCTACAGCGGGGAAGAACTCGGGCTCTACAGCCAGTGGATCTGGGCTACTGCCAAGTGACCTTGTGCGACTGACTTCATCTCTCTTAATTGCCACTTACAAAATGGGTATACTAACAGTAGCTTCCCCACAGGGGCTCTGTAAGGATTAAATGACATAATGCTTATAAAGCATTTAACATGTGGTGCACGGCACGGGGGCATTCAGGAGGGGTGACCTTATCAGACAGGGGCTCATCTAGAATACAGAAGGAAAAGAATGGAGACTGGCAGTTCTTTGAGTAAATCCCCATTTGAGTACTACACTTGCTAGTTTGTTTTGTTTTTTTTTCTTTCTTTA